TACAGTCTTTTTCTTGATCGAATCACGTGACTTTGAAATGCATAAATATGCATTTCTTATAACTAACATTGAAATTCAGTGAAAAATTACCGCGTGAAAAATTAAAAAAAATATTTTAAAGCTCGAATATATTAGCTCGAATTATATTTTAATTGACATATTTTTGATCGTTATTAAATTTAATTTTGCAGAATTGGGGAAATAAAAAATTTTTGTGATGATTTATTTTAGCTTCAAAATCACATAATTCGGTCAAAAAAAGTCGTAAAAAAATTTTTAAGAAACATTTTGTAAATAAAATTCTACATTTTTTGTAAAACCATTAAATTTTTTGAGGAAAAAATGTTTATTACGCTATATTATGACTCATCTATACTAATCTGTAAATCTTAGAGCTTCGATCCAGTTTTATCCTCATCTATATACATATAAAGCTAGAATTAAAATATTTTATATTATTATTAATATGAATACAAAACGGCTTACTCTATACAAATTACGTAAAAACAAAGTGTTAAAGCTTATTTTTATTTTGCATATTTTGCATATATGTACTTTTTTGAGCATTTTCTTTTAAAATTGCATATTTATATTTTATCAATTATGTTATTGATTATTGGAATATTATACATATGTACAATCAAGTTCGATACTTTTTATCGTTGAATGATTCCACTCAATGTGATTCAGTACAATGCGAGTACTAAACCGCTGAAGTGCTTGACATTTACAATTCTTTAAGAAATATTTAAGATTTAATTACTAATTTGTATTCAATGTCATTTTGTATCAATACTGTTTATATATTTTTCGCTCGAAGTTAATTAATTTGTTTATATTTTTACAATTATTTCTTTCTGTGCTTTTCATTTAATAAATGATTGCATATTTTGCATCTCATGCATATCTCATTGTAAGTATTTACAGTGTTTTGTAAGAAATTAAATATTCTAGATTTAGTTTTGTATAAATAATTTTGTATAAAGTTCGTTTGTGTTAATACACAACAATGTTGTATTTTTTGCTTCAAGTTAAATTATTTGTTTATCTTATTATATTTTTGAAAATATTTCTTTCTGTGCTTTTCATTTAATAAAATATATATGCATATTTTTGCATATTTTTACATTAATAAAATTTAATCCTGATATTAAAAAAAAATATTAAAAAATAAAAAAAAATTTAATATTTGTGTATATTTTTATCAAATTTTGTGCATATAATATATGCATATATGCTTGTTTTTACGTGCATATAATTCCCAGTAATATGTTATACATATATATTGTCTCTTCTAATTTAATATTTATTTTTTAATTCTTATTGAAAAAGACTAAAACTACTGATCGAAACATTTGTGATGTGACAAACATTTATGATTTGGATTTTTTGTAATAGTTCAATAATAAATGTGTAAATCTTATGCTACGATATCCGTATTTGTTAGCTATTTTTAGTTCTGTTAGCTCTTATTAGTTAGCTATTTTCCTTTTTTATTTGACCTAAGAAAAACTAAAGCAAAATTAAATTATACTTTAAATTAAAATTTAATTTAAATAATAAAAACTTAAGGAAATTTACCAATGAAAGTCTGCACCAAGTTTTTAATGTAATAATAATGATTCATGTATTCACAAAAATATAATATAATTGCATATGTTTCGACATCAATATTGTGTCCTCTTCAAAGTAAAAAATACAATCCTTCAAAAACATTGAATTCATAATTCATTTAATGTGTCATCATTTAATGTGTTGTCAAAAGTGGAGGATTATATTTTTTTGTACTTTGAAGAGGATATAATATTGATATATGTCGAACCGTCTATTATATTATATTTTTGTGAATACATGAATCATTATTATCATAATAAACATCTGATGCAGGATCTCATTGGCAAATTTCCTTAAGTTTTTATTGTTAAATTTTGAAGCCTTTTTATTGTAGATTATTATTATTTGATTTAAATGTTCAATGTACTAAATAATATTGATAAAAACACAAATATATTATATAATATAATTATTCTAAATGCATTCATTTTTAAGAAACTACAAGTCGATGTTCTTATAAAAAAAAAAGAGCTAAAAGCTGTTATAAGTCACTGACCTAAGGTTATCCGAAAAGATCATTAATCTAAGGAATTTCCCTAAAGCTTATCCTACGCTTATCGCGAAGTGTGTAAAACACACCTTATAAAATTGATGCAAATAAAAGGGAAGAATAAAATAAAGCGCATAAGATCTTTCCGATAAATACTATGAAATTACTCCAAATTTTACATTAATGCAGAATATACAGAATTCTTATAAAGTATTCTAATTTTATTTTAACGAGTGATTTTTTAACCTTCTAATTCAAGACAAAAATTCTGTATAAAAATTCATCATATAATATGTTTGAAACGGTTCAATCTCAAACAAACAAGGTATTAAAAATTGAAGAAAAATTTTGTTTGAAAATCGTTCGAGTTATTTTAATCTTTGATACATAGAAGAAGTCCAACCAATGCGAATATTTTTTATTTTCTTTAATCTATCTGAGATTGTGCTATGAGTCTCTAACTGTTGAAGGAATGATCGGTGACGCCATGAAAGTGCGAAATAATATATAATTGCGCTCGTTTGTATTTGATAAAAAAATAAAAGAAATTGTGGATTTTTCTTAAGGAACGATTTTTGCTAAGGAACATAGAGTTTAATTATTAGCAGTAACTGTTTCTTAACCAGTATGAATGATGTTTTATAAGAATTCTTTGATTTTAAATGAGTATTCAAGATTAAAATTAAAAAATTTTTTACTTATTGCTTAAACTTATTCTAACTTTTCCAAATTGCCAGGTAGGTGCCAAGCAGGTTCCGAACAATTCTGAGCAAAGCGAATGGCCCATCCTCTTTACCCAGTATGTGATTGCAAATCCAATGTGATCGAAAATATCGGGAAGACGGAGAGACAGACGATCTTTCAAGTGAACGAAAAGTACATGATTGTTTACATTCATTTCGCTTTTGTTTTTTTTCACAACGCAGTATGATATGTTTTTGAAGAATATATCGACCCACCATCCAAAGACTAGATTCAGTACAGTGTACAAATGGGCTCATAAAGGCTACAGTATGTATAGAGGATTTGGTGGCTATTTTTGTGACGATTGTCGACACTGATTTTGATTTTTTTAATTCCATCCTTATTGCTCGAGTGATCCACCCACTTTGCCCAAGGGAATCGAGCAATGCGGATGGTTTCTCCTTTTTTACGTTTTGACTAAAAGGACATTTAAATGTTCAAGTTTTTAAATTTTATTTTATTTTATTTCAAAATTCCATTAATAGAATTATGAGAATAAAAAAGATTTTTGATTTTAACTTTAACTGTGTCATTTTTCTTCTCAAACCTTAACACCTCTGCTTTGTTTGAACTTTCCCTATACAAAGTTCCATCAAAATAACACTTAATAGTTTTTGAAATTTTTGAAAAAATGAAATTATCTCTTCAATTTTTACATCCTGTAATGTTAAAACTAAATCATTTCGGATATGTAAATATGGTTATGTAAAGTTTTGAATTATAATAATAAGGAATCATCTTTTAAAATCTCTTTTAAAATACTTAAAGACCACTCTATATTGGAGGATTGTCAAACATTTAATTTAAAATCAATCTCAATCAGGATGAGTCTCGTGTCTGATAATTTGCGAGGTAATATTTTTGATCAAAAACATCGTCAAAAGGGATAATCAAAATCGAGCAAATTAAATCGCAAATAAAATTGTTACCTTTAGTAACTTTTCAGAGATGCACTCGTTTCGAACGCATATTGCATTTCGCGGCGATTGAACTGGAATGGAGTTCTATATATAGTACAATAACGGTAAGTTAATTCTGCGTGAAGATTGTTTAGCGTACCCACAAATGAAATTTATATTCACAGATTTGAAATCGTTTTTCCGTGCGAAAATTAGTTTACGCATATCGTATTCGCATTTCGTTAAATCGTATGTTACATTATATTTAATAAAAGAACATTTAATAAACGAAGAAATAGAGGCATTTGCCGCTCTTTATATCAAACTTTATCTTATTTTCGATCAAAGCAAAAGTTCTTGATCATTTCTCAATAAGCGAAGAAAATCCTTTTAAATATTTCTGTTATCGAGAAAAGAGAAAAATATAGGCTCGATTAAACGCATGCAAATGCAATTGCATGTGACGACGAAAGAGTTTAATATCTGTCGTGCTTTATAAAGTCACCGTAAGCGCGTGAGAGGAGGGTCAAATGAATTTCATTAACTCGTTAGGTTTACCATCGTCGTCCTCGTTGTCGACGTTACGCAGCGCACGCGAAACATCGTTAATTTCGAAGTAATCGCCGTATTGGCGCGTGCGGCGAATATCCTCCTCTCTTTCACGCCATAATGTAACAAGAGAGAGAGAGAGAGAGAGAGAGAGAAGACGCGATCCAATTTACTATGGAGATCCTACGTCACCCCTGCCTGTCGAGGAAATCAATTACGTCGAATGAATACAACATGAAGGGTGTAAAGGGTTAGCCGCGAGTCTCCGCGAACGGTGACCGGAGCGTTGAGCGACACGAAATGCGTCGCGCGGACACGAGGAGGGAATTTTAAGAGAGAGAGAGAGAGTCGACGCAAAGAGTCGGACAGATTTGATTTGTCAAGTCATAGAAATCACCGTTGATAAATCTCGTTATAGATCAACTCGACGCTCGATTGATTAGGGTTTCTTGTCCCTTGCGCTCAAGGAATCTTCGATCATTCGATATAGACGAAAGTTTTATAAAAATGACGAAAATTTACGAGAGCGTTAATAAAAGTACCAAAATAACTAATAATTTAAACTGATATAACTTAGAAATAAACAAATAATATATCTACTAAATAATATATCGTTGCAAATTACTCATTAAATTTTCTCTTTTTTTAAAAATAAACATTAAAATAAAGCAGCAAAATAAGCGTTCTTAATCAATGTATCAAACCTTGGCAGGATCGGACTTCTCCTCATGTTCGTTGAAGGTCTGTGAAGCTCTGGACATGGTGTTCCTTCGGGTTGTTGTCGTGCCATCTTGTGAAGGGCGCACGAATTCGATTCTACCACCCTCGACAACGATGTTAGGGGCTGGTGGGTAATTCTCCGTGTTACCGACGGTGTCGCAGTAACCCAAAAGGCCAGCTTTTTCTCCGTATAACGGATGGATTTGTCTGCAACAGAGGGTAAAAACTCGCTGGAGAATGCTTCGACGATAGCAGATGGTGCGCTATGCCAGAAAACCGACGTGTTTATAATAATTGTTTATAATAATTCATAATTATTGTAATATTTAATTTTTTTTTATATATCTAAAATATAAAACATTTAAAAAATAACATTATTATTATTCATCGAACATTATTATTCGATTAAATTTTGGTTGACTACGTCATGTGTACTAATAATTTTATATGTAAGCTTTAAGCTTTTATTCCACTGAAAGAGTAGTTGCATAATCATTTGTTAAAGGGTTTTTTTATTGCGCACGCAAACCTTTGTTATTTTACATAAGTTATTTTATATAAATTGAAAATATATTGTATATGTGTAAGATTCATTCAGAGTAAACGCGCGCATTATAAGTGTATGAATTGTTTGTATCTCAATGAGAAGGAAGGATGGGAATGAGTTACTGTCAGTTGGTTGTGGCACATGCCAGTAAAAAATAAATAGCAAGAACTCTATGCACAATAATAAAACAAATATATATGTAATTATGTAACATAAATAAATTTTTGGTTACTGGAAAAGTGTATCATCACGCCAAATTAAAGAAGAAAAAAGAAATGAGTATATTTTTTCAGGAAAAGTCACTTTTTAAAAGTAATAAGTTACAATTATTCATTACGAGTAGAAAGAGTAACAAGTTACCATTATTAATTACCGATTTTTAAAAGTAATTCGTTACCGTTATTTGAGAAAGTAACCTTTCGTTTCTTTTTCGTTATTTTTTAAAAATCGACGACTGCCAATCACAATGGACGGGCCTAGGGGCTTTTTAGTCTCGAGCGCTATGCACTGTAAAAAATTTTTTTGTAAAATTACAACTATTGCAGTGGGTAATTTTGAGACCCATTATAATAGTTGTAAACGTCCATGCGTTTGTAAATTTGCATTTGTAAAATGCAAATAAAAATAATTTCTTGATTTGTAACTAAGCAAATTGTGGAAGTAGAATTCCAATGTGTATGTGTAGTTGTAAAAACGATAATATGACAATACATTTCGCTATTTATTATTATACATTTAACAGCAATATGCGAAGAATTACTGTTGTATTATATAATATTATTAAAATTTGGATAATTATAAGAGAGAAAATATTCAAAATCCTGCTATTTACGTAATTTTTCATATCAAATAAGATATGTATTTACACAATAAAAACAAATTTACATATTTTTTGTGAATTACATAATTTCTGTAATATTGTATGATTTTTTATATTTACAGTACTAATCGTGTAATTTTTATATCTATTATATGTGTAAACTTACAGAATTTTTTCACAGTGTGAGTAGCTTGTATCGTATCGTGTCCAATCGTCTGCAAAGCAACGACAAAGGTAAAAAGGTTCGTTACCGTTATCAAAAAAATAACTTCGTTACCGTTATCAAAAAAAAAAAGTAAAATTATCAGTAAAGTTACCATAAAACTTGTAACTGTAACTTTGTTACAAGTAACGAGTTACTTCTATTCCCTGCATGTTTTATACGTAGTATGAATTGTAAATTTATATTGTATATACAACAATATTTGAGATTGCATCGGCTGTTGTTAATATTGAAATTTAGTCAACGTTTTTAAAAACGTTCACTTTGTATTAAGTATATGTGGATGAGTGTACGCACGCGTATACTTATAGCATTTTCTCTTGGGATACACTGAGTATAACTTCGCACAACATTAGTTGCGTGTAAGTGCTGCATCAGTGCTGCACTACAAAAGTGTACATACACTATGATGTACACTACTTCATGCTATCGTGTTAAATCGTTTAATTCTGGTGCCGGTTGACTTCCATTTTCAAATTTTTAATGTCACACTGGCTCTACACCGTCTCTTTGAGATCGTGTAGCAAAACTCCACTTCGTGCATAAAATTTGCACTACACTATAGCGGAAACACGTTACACTGAATGAGTTCGCCTATCACCAGCCAAGGAAACACGCTACACTGTTGCACTGGTGATGATGCAGCCAAGAGAAAACGCTATTAGCCGCAATTAATCTCAATACTAACGATCAACATAACTTCAAATACATGTACATACCCAGCAAACGAGAATAGATTGAAATGGATTAAAATGGATTCAGATTTTCAGAAGTAGAGATTCATGAGTGTTAAAATGAATCTTTTTCAATCCTGAATGCATTTTTATTCACTTATAAGAATTGCACAGAACATATCTCTATGCCTTTCAATCTAAAAATAATATTATAATATTTTGTGTGCATTATGAATGCTGTTCAATTCAAAATTATGAATAGGAAACGCAGTTTTTCAATTCAGTTGAATTTAAAAATATCAGCCATTTTTGTGCATCGTGAATACTGCTCAATTTAAAATTCTGAATAAGAAATACAGTTTTTTAATTCAATTAAATAAAAAAGTTTTTCGCAATAAGTTTATTACAGTTTTTTAAAATTAAATTTGAGAAATTTGAGGGGATTGTTAATATTTCAGATGATTGCGTTGAAAGTCCGACAATCATATTGGCACGCAATTATTATTTCTGAAATTAATTCATTTAAATGAACATATGTAATAGTTCAACATCTTAACTCAGACCGTAATGACGCTTCGTATTTAAAGTAATTAATATAAATGATCTTATTTCCAATTAATCTTAAATCTTATTGTAAATAAAAAAAAGTTTCTTTTAAAATGGACTATAAATGCTACTTAAATTATTCAAAATTATAAGTAGAAAATGTTTTGTTTTAATCTAACTAAATTCAAAAAAATTGTAACGTAAAATTGAGATATATTCTTTTGTTTCTCTTTGATTAAAGAATGCGTTACTAAAATCCGGACAAATTTCAATTTTCTGCTATATTGTGCTTCCATCAGAGGTTGTTGTTGGTCCGAGAAAGCCTGATGCTTCTAATAAACAGTCATATTCTTCTCATCAGTCATATTCTCAAAATGGCCGCGATATTGAAACCAAGTGCGGAGTATAATCGAAGAGCCGCGATCATCGAAGGCCTTCGCGCTGGTCGCTCAGCAACGGAAATAATTCGGTCCTTTGAATACCCGAGATCAATCATTTATGACGTTGTGGCAAAATATATGGCTTTAAAACAGTCCAACGAAGGTTCCAGTATACCAGCGAGGAAGAGTCAGTCGAAAGAACGCGAAGACTCTCGCAGTCATTGAAAGGGGCAAGCGCTGATTTCGGATGACTCAGGGCAATTCATCATTACGAAAATTAGTATCGATTGTTGGTGTAAACGAGTCAATAATGCGTCGAATTGCTGAAGAAGACCTTCGATACAAATCGCACACATTAAAGATACGATATAGATGCTCTCTGAAGCTGTCAGAACAAGCCGAGTTGCTCGCTTCGGCTTCTATTCTGGCCTCCCAACAGTCCAGATTTAAATCCCTTGGACTACTACGTATGGAGCGTAGTTGAAAGAGTCACAAACAAGGCATCCCAATGTGATTAAGGATTGAGGCAGCATTCGTCGGACAGAGCTACATTACAACGTGTGTGCGAACGCTTCAGATCGAGAATAGAGACCGTCATTCAAGCTAATGGGGGATATATCGAATTGTGCTTTATAGGGATTCCCCAAGTGTCATGTAAAATGATTTTTTGTGATATTTAATTTTTCATTAAAAACATTTTGTTTAAAGAAATTGTTTGATTTGTCTAGATTTTGGTGACACACCCTGTAGAAGTAAAATAAATGATATTGATATGAACACACGCAAATCAAGTCAAACACAGCCCGAATATTACGCTTATCACGGCACGCGACATCGGCCAAGCGAGATTAAGTTATCCGACATTACCCAATGTTATCTCATAATAATGTAAATTGTTTATATTTTATTATATCTATTAAATAATGATATTTTTATTATATCTATATAATTTCGTGCATTGGTTTAACTGGTTGAAGTAGAGAAGGAATAACACATTTACCAATTGAAGAAGTGGTGTAACGAATAACGTAGAAGATTCATAATCTAGAGGTCTCAGATTCGAATCCCACTAAAGTTTTTTAATACCAATTTGAAGTAATTAATTTCAGGTATAATTATTATAAATGGCCTAGTTTTCACTGAGGGTTTACTCCGGATCAAAATGTAAGAACCAACCAACCACAATCGAGCTTGTCGTTCCCTTGTTGTTCAACTGTAACAGGGAAATACTTGACTGTAGTTGGTTGGTTTTTACATTCTAATCCAGATTAAACCTTCGGTGGAAACTAGGCCAATGTCTTAGGAATAAAATTTATAATCCTTAAATATGAATGTTTTTTTTTTCGAATATTAAACTAATGTTTACTAACTAATATTAAACTTAGCTCGGATCCAATCCATTTCAATCCATTTTCATAAATTTAAAGTACGCTTAAAAAAATTTTAATTTATTTGTTTTGGCAATCTCGCTGAGCGCACGAAAATCGTAATGGCGTGGCCAGGCGATCACCGTCCGAGCGTTTCCCGCGGAATTACTACGTCGAGGGCACTCGGTCGAGAAAATGCGAATTTCTCTGCTTTCCAGATTTTATTAAAAATAAGTCTCGATCGCGGGCGAACGTGTTTACAGCGGATACGAAAAGGATCTTAGCAGTAGCGCGGCGATGACCTTCCACGAGACGAGTTGTGTGCAGAAGATGAAAACAACAGTTTGTTTTGTTGCCAAGACAATCTGATATTATTTTTTTTAATCGATTACGCATGACGCATGCGTCGTTAGCAATCGATATCTCGTGGATTCATTGATTTTTCATAGATGCGATTAGGCGATATAATTAGAGATCGTGAATCACAGAGATACCGAACATTATTTTAATCCATTCTCGTTTACTGGACACTTTAAAACTGTTCTAAATAATTATTGATTCTGATTTTTTATATTTTAAGATACAATCTAGGAAGATGCCTAGAAAATATACCTATAAGAAAAAATCTAGAGAGAAAACCCATTACTCAA